TGTCCTTTCACTTCCAGATGCAGGACTTCTATATTTCTTGTTAAGCCAGTCTAGTGGTGATAAATTCCCCATTTTCTCCTTGTCTGGGAAAAACTTTATTTTGCCTTCATTTCTGAAGGTTAACTTTGCTAGGAATAGTACTCTTGATTGCAGTTTTTCTATTCTTTCAGCACTTTAAATATATCATCCTATTCTCTTCTGGCCCATAAGGTTTTGCTGAGAAATCTCTGTTAGTCTGACGGAGATTCCATGATATGTAACTTGACACTTTTCTCTTGCTGTTTTTAGAATTTTCTCCTTTGTCTTTGACTTTTGACAGTTTAACTATAATGTGCCTCAGAGAGGGCTTTTTGGGTTGAATTTGGGAACCTTTGAGCTTACTAGATGTGAATATACATACTTCTCCTAAGACTTGGGAAGATTTCAGCGATTATTTTATTATATAGATTTCCTATGCCTTGTTCCTGCTCTTCTCCTTCTGGAATTCCCATAAAATGAATATTTGTTTACTTAATGATGTTATATAAATCCTTTAAGCTTTCTTCATTTTTTCTTTTTTGGTTGGCTGGATTATTTCGAAAGACCTTCAAGTTCAGAAAACTTTTCTTCTGCTTGATCTAGTCTATTGTTGAATTTCTCAGTTGTATTTCTTATGTTATTCACTGAATTCTTTAACTCCAAGATTTCTGTTTGAGTCTTTTTTATATTGATCTCTATTGAATATCTTATTTATTTATTTATTAGTTGTTTGTTTTTGAGACAGAGTCTTGCTTCGTCACTTAAGCTAGAGTGTAGTGACACAATTAGAACTCTTACTACAGCCTTGAACTTCTGGGCTCAAATGATCCTCCCACCTCAGCTCCCAAGTAGCTAGGACTACAGGCATGCACTACCACACCTAGCTAATTTTTAAAAATTTTTAGTAGAGACAAGATCTCTCTATGTTGCCCAGGCTGGTCTTGAACACCTGGCTCAAGCAGTCCTTCCACCTCAGCCTCCCAAAGTGCTGGGATTACAGGTAAAAGCTACCATGCCTGGCCAGATTTTTCATTTAGATCATGAATTATTTTTCTGATTTTATTGAGTTGTCTGTCTGTTTTCTCTTGTATCTCACTGAGTTTTCTTAAAATCATTATTTTGAATCCCTATCCAGGCATTTTATAGATTGCCTTTTCTTTGGGGTCTGTTGCTAGATAATTACCATTTTCCTTTGGAGGGGTCATGTTTCCTTGCTTTTTTGCTTCTTGTATTATTATACTGATATCTGCATATCAGTGGAATGGGTGCCTCTTCCAATTTTATGGGGTAGCTTTTATAGGGCTACATTTTCCCCATAGTGTCCTATAGTGTTGGTTACGTAAGGATGCTTTAGTTTTGGTTCTGGACAGGTACAATAGTATAGTCTCTGTGTGATATCTTTGGCTGTATTCAGTGTCAGTGGTGTCTGCAAGTACGTTACCGGCCTAGGCTCTGGGTATTTGTGAAGGCAGTAGTGGTATGGCTTTGCTTGGGATAAGGGCCACCAAGAGGGCCAATTCTCAGGTTCTGGAGGTCACACACTGGGCATGTCATCTCTGCTGGTTGCAGGGTTGGTGTTGCAGGTACCAGTCAGGCTGGATGTTGGTTCCTGGGATACTGGTGTAGTACATGGTGGCTCTGCCACTGGAGGAGATGGGTTTGCTGGCAGCTGTAGGCACCAGGTGGGCTGGTCATTGGTCCCTGGGGAGCCCACACCTAAATGATACTTTTATTTTGGTTAAAAAAAAAAAGTAACATAAAATTTACCATAACCATCTTTAAGTACAGTATGTCCTCACTGAACACCATTGATAGATTCTTGGAAACTGCAACTTTAAACCAAACAACGTATAAGAAAAATCAGCATTTTTTCTCATCAACATTACAATAAAATGATATTGAATAAAATGATGTTATTTGAGGACCTGCTCTATATTGTTTTGCTTAAAGTTGTGGTTTCCAAGAACCTATTGATGACATTAAACGAATATTTACTGTATATAATTCAGGGATACAGAAAATGTATCCCTATAAAAGCTACCCCATAAAATTGGAAGAGGCAACCCTTCCACCAGATCCACAGATATCAATGTAAGAATACAAGAAGCGTCTGGGTGCGGTGGCTCACGCCTGTAATCCCAACACTTTGGGAGGCCGAGATATGTGGATCACCTGAGGTTGGGAGTTCAAGGCCAGCCTGACCAACATAGAGAAACTGTGTCTCTACTAAAAATACAAAATTAGCCAGGCAAGGTGGTGCATGCCTGTAATCCGAGCTACTTGGGAGACTAAGGCAGGAGAATCGCTTGAACCTGGGAAGCGGAGGTTGTGGTGAGCTGAGATCGTGCCATTGCACTCCAACCTGGGCAACAAGACAGAAATTCCATTTCAAAAAAATAATACAAGAAGCAAAAAAGCAAGGAAACATGACACCTCCAAAAGAACATGGTAATTGTGGCATTGAATACATTCATAGTGTTTCACAATATATCTCCAGGATGTTTTCATCTTGCAAAACTAAAACTCTATACCCATCAAACAACAACTCTCATTTTTCCTTCCTCCCAGCTCCTGGCAACCACCATTCTACTTTCTTTTTCTATATGTTTGGCTACTTTGGATATCTCATATAAGTGGAATCATGCAATATTTGTCTTTTTGGTTTATTTTACTTAGTATAATGTCCTCAAGGTTCATTCATGTTGTAGTGTGTGTCAGAATTTCCTTCCTTTTTTTTTTTTTTAAGGCTGAATAACATTCCCTTGTAAGTATATACCACATTAAAAAAAATCTATTCATCTGATATGAGGATTTGGGTTGCTTCCACCTTTTGGATATTGTCAATGATGTTGCTATAAACATGGATGTGCAAATACCTCTTCAAGATCTTGCTTTCAGTTCTTTTGGATATATATCCAGAAGTATAATTGCTGGATCACATGGTAATTTTATTTTATTTTATTTTATTTTATTTTATTTTATTTTATTAGAAAACACCATACTGTTTTCTATAGATTTGCACCATTTTACAGTCCCACCAACAGTGCACAAAGTTCCAATTTTGCCACATCTTCACCAACACTGGTTATTTTATGATTTTTAATAGCAGCCATTCTAATTGGTGTGAGGTGAAATCTTACTGTGGTTTTGATTTGAGTTTCTCTGATGATTAGTGATGTTGAGCATCTTTTATATGCTTCTTAGCCATTTGTATATCATCTTTAGATAAATATCTATTCAAATCCTTTGCTTATTTTTTCTTTCGTCTTTCTTTCTTTTTTTTTTTTTTTTTTTTTGTAATTGACTACCTATTTTTAAATCAGTTTATTTGATTTTTTTCTTGTTGAGTTGTAGCTCTTTTTGAGACAGGGTCTCACTCTGTCACCCAGGATGAAGTGCAGTGGTGTGACCTTGGCTCACTGCAACCTCCTCCTCCTGGGCTCAAGCGATCCTCCCATGTTAACCTCTCAAGTAGCTGGGATTACAGGGGCACACCACTATACCAGGCTAATTTTTTAGATTTTTTTGTAGAGATGGGGTTTTGCCATGTTTCCCAGGCTGGTCTTGAACTCCTGGGCTCAAGCAATCCACCTGCTTTGGCTTCCCAAAGTGCTGGGATTACAGGTGTGAACCATTGCACCCAGCCTGGAGTTCTTTATGTATTCTTGCTGTTAGTCACATATTGGATATATAATTTGCAAATCTTTTCTCTCGTTATGTAGGTTGACTCTTCATTTCAATTGATTTGCATCCTTTGCTGCACTAAAGTTGTTAAGTTTGGTGTCATCCTATTTGTCTATTTTTGCTTTTGTTGCTTGGACTTTTGGTGTTATATTCAAGAAATGGTTGCCAAATTTAATATCATGAAGCATTTCCCCTATGTTTCCTTCTAAGAGTTTCATAATGTTAGGTCTTACATTTAGATCTTTAATCCATTTTGAGTAATTTTTGTATGTGGTATAATGTAAGGATAAAACTTTATTATTTTGCATGTGGATATTCAGTTTTCCCAACACCATATATTGAAGATGTTGTCCTTTCCCCATTGAGTGGTCTTGGCACCCTTAACCATATATGTGAGGGTTTATTTCTAGGCTGTCTACTCTATTCCATTGGTCTAAATGTCTCTCTTTATGCCAGTACCATACTGTTTTGATTACTATATCTTTGTAATAGTTTTTGAATTCAGGGAGTGTAAGTTCTTCAACTTTGTTCTTTCGGAAAATTGTTTAGCTATTTGGGGTCCCTTGAGATTTCATATAAATTGTAGGATGAATTTTTCTATATCTGCAAGAAATGTCTTTGGGATTTTGATAGAGATCGAAATAAATGATCTTTGAGGTTCTTTGTGATATTAAAGTGATATAGTATATATGTATTACTTAAGTAGCAATTCAATTCTGGGATTATTAATTCAATTCTTTACCTCCAGATGAGAAGAAGGGACATTTATTCAGGTCCTCCTACATGGTAGGCATTATTGCAGCACTCTGGGTAGAGACATCATTAGCATTTTTTTAGGTTGACTTGCCCTGCTCTGCATGGAAAAGCCAGGATTCCTGCAGAGATACGAGCCTAGGTCTGTGTCTTTATAAAGCTTGTGCTCTTCTTGTGCTACACTTCTGCCCCCTCCTCCATTGCCCAGAAGCTTCCTAACAGTTGACAAAGTTTGCACCCAATGCTGATGGGTGTTTATCTTTTCACTGATGCCACAAGAGTTGTGGGAACACCACCTGCTATTGTCTTTAGGGGATTGTCACAGAATTTTTAAATGAGCTACTATGTATATTTGAATACTTATAGTGCTGAATGGACAAACATATTTGGGGAATCATGATGCTGGACTTTAATTTAATTTTTTTAATTGAATAAAGTCCCACCTGGACTTTCTTCCGTGTTCACGTGTATGTGACCAAAGTCTTGCTGAGAAAAAGGGAACATACTTCTCATAACCATTCCTTCTCTTCTCTATTCTACCTGAGATTTCCAACCCTGAGCGAGTAATGCAAGTGCTCCAAGATCATGCTGCAAAGATAGTCATGCTGGCTCCACATCATCCATCCTTTGTGGCTTCCCAGGGTTTGCATCAGTGCGACTATGACCAAGTCTGGGAGAATATTTACAGCAACATCAACCTCTGTCAGGTACTACAGGAAGAAATAACCAAAATGCCTTTTTACTCAACTTGCTACCTGTGTGTAGCCCTTAGACATTTACTTTGGTAGTTTTTCTGAAACCCTCCCCACCAAAATCTCTATAATCTAGCCAGGTTTATTTTCATTATAAGAAAGATTAAGTGCTAATTAAAAAGAAAGATATAAAGAGGTATAACATAAGATGTTGTTCCTATGAGGACAGATACTTAAACCAATAAATACCAATGCAAGGCTGTACATCCAAGGGCTAAGCACCCAATGAGCTGGACAGTTATTAAATACCATATTTAGAAAGTGGTCCCCAAAGGGTAGATTCTATTGAGGAAAGCCTCTTGAAGGAGAGGAAATTGGGCTGGATTTGAAGGAGGCATAGGACTTTCGGAAGTGATGGGGAAGAAAGTAGTGAGTGCATTCTAGGAGGTACAGCATGAAGAGCATGCTGAGGAGATACTGGATGTGATATAGTCAGAGCCAGCTTAGTTGAGTGGAAGATTCATGTGGAAATATAGTGAAAAGAAAGGCTATTTGTTTGTTTGTTTGTTTGTCAGGGGAGGTGCTAGTTGTGAATGCTCATGCATTCCAGACAAAGGAATCTGTGCTTTTCCCTATAAGGAAAATATTTCATACAAAGGCATATTTTTAAGGAAAATTAATGTGGTAGCAAAATGTTAGTTGGACTGGAAGAGGGAGAGTTTGGAGGCAAGGAAGTCAGTTAGGTAGCTGCTGCACAGGATAGGCATGAGGTTTGGAAGTGAAAAGAAGTTCACAAAGCTAGTGTATACTTGTCTTTACAATGATACCATAACATTTTTGAAGCTTTCATCTGCTATTATTTTTCACTCTAAAAGAAGAGTTTCATGTCATTTGTCTATTTAAGTTGGGAAGACCCAAATATGTTTGTAGTCTAAGGTGAGGAAGCAGTAGAGAAGAGGAGACAGAAGATATGAAAAGGGAAATGTGAGAAACAGATGACCCTGGGGAAGAGGAGGGGATGGGATGGGGAAACCAGATGGAAGAGTAATTTTGAGAAATCAAGAATGACATCACTTCCCTTGAGGTGAATGGGATACACAGAATTTTTAGGTGCAGAAAGGTAAGATGTGGGTGCTCCTGACTGGCCCTGGCTGTCTCATAGAGAGGGAGGAGGCAGAGGTCATCTGCATTAGTGAAGCGAACTGCAAGAGCTACATGTGAGGGGGTGCGTGGCTATGATAAAGACCACAGGACCATCAGTGAGAGGAAAATACACGAATGACTGCATGGTCAAGAGGCCCCTGGTAAAACACAATGCTATGAATTTGTAGTGAGCCCCTTTTGTATAAATTCTATTACTTTCACCCCTAAAATGATTGTAGAGTACCTGAAAATTGCATAAAGTCAAAGTTGTGGGGAAGTTGGGTAGAATGCTGGAGAAAGAAGCACTGTCACAGTTCATTATCCCATGATATGGGATATGGGGGAAAGTGAGACCTCAAGCTATCCAGTGAGTTATGGATTAGTTGGGAGCATGCACACACACACATATACACACACATACACACACACACACACCTTTTATAACTGTTCAGTTTGTTTGAGCAAGGATCTAGAGATCAAACGAGAAATGAGTTGGCCACACAGATCAGGAGCAGAGGCAACATATCAGCATGGATCTCCCTGGCCCTTGAATTTCCTGACAGAGTATGCAACTACCAGTGACACACTCCTTGGCTAGCATCCTGCCAGAGTTGAAAAAATAGCCACAGTTTTCGTATCCCGTTGCCATTTTACAACTGAAGTTTGTATCACCATTCAGGAAGATCTTACACGAACAAGGAGACATTAAAAAAACATTTATGTTTGGTTCCTATTCCCGAACCAAACATAGAGACTATAGGATAGGGGAGAAAGGAGTGAGAAGGCAGAGTCTATCCCAGTGTCTCAGAACCATGTCTTTGCTTCTAAGATCCTGGACAGTTTACCTCTTTTTATTTTTATTTTACTTTTTTTTTTTTTTTTTCCTGAGACAGAATCTCACTTTGTCACCCAGACTGGAGTGCAGTGGTGCCATCTCGGCTCACTGCAACCTCTGCCTCCCAGGTTCAAGTAATTCTCATGCCTCAGCCACCTGAGTAGATGGGACCACAGGCGTGCACCACCACTTCTAGCTAATTTTCATATTCTCAGTGGAGATGGATTTTCTCCATGTTGGCCAGGCTGGTCTCGAACTCCTGACCTCAAGTGATCCACCCATTTCAGCCTCCCAAAGTGCTGGTATAACAGGCATGAGCCATCATGCCCAGCCTTGGACAGTTTACCTCTTGATGCAGATGTTATAATCATCCTTTACCCAGGGAGTTATGGTATTAACATCTGAGGGCCATCAACACACATATGTTTTCCTCCTTGAGTGAGAGAATAAGGGGAATTAGATTCCAGGGGTCCATAAAGGGGTGAGAGGAGATGAATAAGAGTGAGGAGAGGGCCGGGCGCAGTGGCTCACGCCTGTAATCCCAGCACTTTGGGAGGCCAAGACGGGCAGATCACGAGGTCAGGAGATGGAGACCATCCTGGCTAACACGGTAAAACCCCATCTCTACTAAAAATACAAAAAAATTAGCTGGACGTGGTGGTGGGCGCCTGTAGTCCCAGCTACTCGGGAAGCTGAGGCAGGAGAATTGCTTGAACCCAGGAGGCGGAGGTTGAAGTGAGCCGAGACCGTGCTATTGCACTCCAGCCTGGGCGACAGAGTGAGACTCCGTCTTAAAAAAAAAAAAAAAAGAGGCCGGGCGCGGTGGCTCAAGCCTGTAATCCCAAAACTTTGGGAGGCCGAGGCGGGCGGATCACAAGGTCAGGAGATCGAGACCATCCTGGCTAACACCGTGAAACCCCGTCTCTACTAAAAAAATACAAAAAACTAGCCGGGCGTGGTGGCGGGCGCCTGTAGTCCCAGCTACTTGGGAGGCTGAGGCAGGAGAATGGTGTGAACCCGGGAGGCGGAGCTTGCAGTGAGCCGAGATTGCGCCACTGCACTCCAGCCTGGGGCACAGAGCAAGACTCCCTCTCAAAAAAAAAAAAAAAAAAAAAAAAAAGAATGAGGAGAGGTTGAAATCAAAGGAGAAGGGAGTCAGAGATAAAGAGCTTCATGTCTGAAATTATGGAGAAACAGTAAGGTCTAGGGGTGGCCTGACCACTGGGAAGCTGAGTTGTAGCACTGCCCACAGGCACTCAGGGGACAAAGGGGGGTTACTTCTGTAGGACCACTGTGCCAGTGAAAAGCAGAAGGTTAACAGTGAGAGCAGGAGATAGTGGCTCAGGCAAGTGTTGAGTAGTAGAAAACACGAAGCTAGGGCAACAGTGTAAAAAACTGGTGGAAACAGAAGTAGGGAAACTCCTGCTTCTCTTCTCCCAGCCGTGCAGTGGAGGGGACAACTAACACTTTTTGCTCTTACTACTTTCTTCCACTTGCAGAGGGGATGGAAATTCAGGTACTGATAGGATGCAGTCTGTGCTTTCACCAAAGTCTGTTTTGAATGCAATTGCCCAAATAATAAAAAGAAAAGAAAAGAAAACCACTTCCTCCAGCTATTTACTGACATATAAATGTTGTTCTTGGAATCTTGGAATTCCCCAAAGGGAGAAAAATATCAGCACTGTGTTTTCAAGTTGACTTATGGTAAATAGACCATAAAAAGACTAATAATACCTGGAGATCTTCAGATTCCACAGATGGGACATGAGGGGAGACATACAACACACACACAAATCACTCTACAAATTAGGATCATGAAGTTTTCCATTTTCTCATTCATTCATTCATTCATTCATTCATTCCATGATTATTATATGGATATTGCCTTTATGTCAGGAACTGTACTTGGGTTAGGGGATGAAATAGACCCAGTCCCTGCCCTGAGAGCAACATATAATAAACAAGTGAACAAACAAGTAAACCTACATCTCTAACTTGTGAGTGCCGTGAAGAAAACAGTGGGCAGAGGACAATAAGTGGAGAGGAGCACCCTCTGACAGAGGCCAGCCAAATCTTCGGGTGGGAGGATTGAGTTGAATTTAATGAATGAGAAGGAGGCAGCCATGCAAAGAGCCTGGAGAAGAGAAGAATTTCCTTTCCTTCCCTCCCCTCCCTTCCCCTCCCCTCCCCATTCCCTTCCCTCCCTTTCCCTCCCCTCCACTCCCCTTCCCTTTCCCTCCCTTCCCCTCCCCTCCCCTTCCCTTCCCTTCCCTTTTTTCCCTTTCTTAAAACCAGTGCTATTTTCTATTCCAAAGCAGAGAACAGAAAATAGCACTGGGTTTAAGAATAGAAATTCCAAGGCAATGGCCAATATTTTCTAGTTTTCTTCACATTTTCCCATGGGTGTAACTTTGTGACCTCCTCAAGTATTTCTGCTTTGGTCAAGAGCCACTTTATACTGTATCAGGGCCCCACTGGTAGCACATAGTCATTCTGGATGTTAAATGCTAATCAAATCAGATTAGAATTAAGTAAAAATGTGGCAGCTAGGAGGAGTTATGGGAATGTGAGTATGAATTTTAAAGCTGTGTTACTGTTTTGCAAACATGTAGCAGTCAAGTGTGGATTTTAGCATCTGTATGCTGGTCAGCATCTTGATTCTGAATCTGGCAAGTGACAACCAATACCTTGTGACAGATAAGTTTCTTAAGGGCCTTCTGCATAAAGAAAAACAAACTTCATAGGATGACTGTCTGTCCATTTTGGCATCTCTGAGAGAATGAATATAATCACTAATTGTAGCACAACTTCAGAACAGTTTCTGATCAATTCTCACTGAATGCCATTCACCAGTAACTTTTCCATTTTGTTTTGTTTTGTTTTGTTTTTTGTTTTTGACAGGGTCTTACTCTGTTGCCCAGGCTGAAGTGCAGTGGTGTGATTTCAGCTCATTGCAGCATTTGCCTCCTGGGTTCAAGTGCTCCTCCTGACTCAATCCCCAGAATAGCTAGGACTGCGGGTGGGTGGGCACACACCA